TATAGAATAATTATATCTAATAAATCTTATAATATTAATATTAATATATTAATATACAATACATATGTAAGCACCAAACAAAACTTCTTTACACACAAAAAATATAAGATAAACCAATTGAATTATGTGTATAAAAAAAATTAAGTCCATTAAATTATATGTGAGACTGCAAGCTTAGATGAGGATTGGCGAGATCATAAAAAAAATCAATAATTACTATCACATGCCACCACATTTTTAAAAGTGAAAAAATAGTGAAAATGACATTTTTTTCATTTTAATTTTGAGTTTCTTTTAAAAATATTTTCAAAGAAAACATTTTTTAAAATAAAAAAAAATACATTTTCATATTTATCTTCTATTTTATTTAAAAATAAAAATAGAAAATAATGAAACCAAACATTCCCTAAAATTTCAAATAGAATAATGTTATATTTTCTATTATAAAATATCAAATGAAAACATAACTGTATTTAATGTCTTAGAAATATAAATCACTTGATATTAACCATATAAAGAAAATAGGAAATTAACATGAGAAGAACAAAGATTTTCGGACACCTACACTATAATTAACACCTAAAAAGATGAATAAAATAAAATATAATATAAGGGTGATAGATAATAGAGTAAATTACATATGATAAATAAAAAGTTGCATCAACACTTTCTAAAGCTTCGTAAAATTATACATTTTTTTTTTTTGTTTTCTTAATATTTATAACAACATCCTTTATAAGCAAGAAAGTGTATTGCATAATATTTTTCTAACGATTAAAAAGATTAGTATAGTGATTGGAAAAACACAGCGCATAGAATAAACAATTTAACGAGATATAATGTGATATATGAATTTATAGGATTGTTTATATTTTATATTAATACCATAGTTAAAATAAAATAAAAAAGTAAAAGAGGTTATGGGGAATCATGTCATGGTGATGCCCATTTTATTTGACCAAGTCAAATGTAAGTGTTCTCTTTTATAGCGTTTTTCTTCTTCTTTGGGTCTTTGGAAATTCTAACCAGAGGTTTGACCTGATGCAGTTGGTATATGATCACTCGTTAGTCGTTAGCGTTGCTTTCGAGATTGAATGGAAATTCAAAGAATGAAAGCAATTGCTTTGCTACCAAATTCCTATTCTCATGTAGATTCCCTATCCAACTTGAGTCTTGAGTTCCGAGAGATTACAAATTACAATACATCGTTTTTTTAAGGTAAAATAAAGTTTGGGTTCTTTCTTGTTTTTAACTTCCTTAACCCAAAAGTAACATTTTTGTGTCGGATAAAATCTTTTTTGTGTGTACTGTTCATAAAACATTTTAAACTTACTATTATACTACTTCAAGTAAGCATAATCAACTCTCTCAACTATACTTTTAGACAAAATTAATTTTTCAAAATTTATCAAAAACTAAGTTTGCTAACTCCAATTCAAAGACACACTATATTATTTTGAAATATTTTTTTATATCCTTAGTTGGCCATAGTTTTCCTTTAAACTAAAGTTTAGAGTAAAATAATTATTTTTAGATTTTGTTTTATAGCAGAAGGATGTTGAAACTATTTTCACTTTTTTTTTTGGATATAAATAATCTTTAAAAAATGTGAAAGTGAAAAAGTAAAGGTGTATTTATTTTTATTTAAATTAAAGTATTTCATAAACTTACTTTAAACAAAAAGTGAATGCACACTACTTTGTCACTTAAACAGAAAGTAGAGACCACGGCTACTTTACATATTTTCAATTTTTCATACTTTAGCATAGTTAAATTTAACATTTCTAATTAACCATGCAAATTAAAATCAAATAGTAAACCCCTATATATAAATTGTTGAGATCAAATTAACAAACACTTGTTCACTTCTAAGTTCTAAGTATTGTCCCTCTAAGCTCAATGGATAATCGTGACTTGTAAGAGATGTTATGGGTCCATTAACAGGAATGGTTGTACCCGTACTCAACTAAAGTACCAGCATTCTCTGTTGAAAGAACATAGCCAAAAGAAGGGGAGGAATTGTAGTACTACCCATGTTGGAATTCGTTATACAAGTATTATGCACGTTTAAATTTTCGTTTAAAATGTTTCAAAAATCCTTTGGTATGCATTATACTGATGAAGTTCTTTATAACATCCATTGGATCCTTGAGAAAGAATAAGGTTCACCCTCTTACTGTTGGGATAACAGTACCTCACCGTACCTTGTACGAGATTTTACTCGTGTGTGGCCAAGTGCAACGAATCGAAGTGAATATAGATACTTCGTTTATTGCTAAAAAGACATCCATACGTTGGTGAGGACAGGTTGTTATTGAATCAATAGTGTCAGCATTTTTCAACTAATAATAGAAATAGTTGTTTATTTATATATATTTCATTGACCATAAATTACAAGAGACAGGTATCCAGCAAATTTACATTAGAAAAAATTGGCTGGACCCATCATAAGTCTTGATGCATTATCAAATGCAATCAAAGTTTTAATCATATCTAACTTGTCTGAACATTTCAGTGATTTTGAAATCATTGATATAAAACTCGTAATTAAAATTACATAAAAAGAAAAATCAACAACGATTTTGATTAACTTCTGCTTTTTGACTACGTGAGTAATAATTGTACAAATGTTGGGCTGGACAAACTAACATTATTTGGTCAGTAAAGAATTGGTATAATGCATGTAAACCAAAAGTTATACAATGTGGTTGATTGATTAATGGGTTATAATTAATCAAGATTCAATGAAGATTAAAAAGAAGGAAAGAAAAAGTGTGATCAGCACATTGAATAACGTTCTAGGAGAACTTGTATTATATGCCACCATCGAATTCCCGTGTAGTAGGACACTTTCCAATCATGTCACAGTTTTGTGCCAAGTAGAAAGGACATGTAGCATATCGATTAACATCTTGGATGGTCCCATACCAACGGATCCTTGTCAAAAAAGGAACTAAATACCTTGAGCATTGAACTAATCAACATCCGGAAAAGGCATTCTCCAATAATTCCATGAGTTGAAGTCCTCCTGCCATAATAAATTTCAAATCAAATCTTGTTAGTTGTAAAGTTCAGAAGGAGTAAACCTACACGTTTTGGAGATTCTTCATCACCTGCTCGACCAAAGAAGTAGGAGGGAACATGTCATCGACGAGTGTGTGTAATGATGTGTAAGATTTTGCATCAATACGATGACTTATTGCCACCTCACCCTGTTAGTTTTCAAGGCATTTTGTTAGTACCCTGTGAGGACTAAAGAAAATACTGTCAGAAATATCGATCCAGGATGCACACCTTGGGATTAATAATAAATATTTTTCCCTTTGGAATTCCTATCTTCCTGTAACTAAGTTCATCCGTGTCTCTGTTGCCAAACCCCGCGTAAAAGGGATTATAATCAGAAGGGAAAAGTCTTTTGATATCCTGCGAAACATTATTTTCATAACATGTGTTATGTCAGTATGAAAATTGCTTTTTGATGCTACTTCCAAGTTGCATGTGTTTTCGTAATTACCTCTAGACAAGCAATCTTGAACTCGTGAGGAGCTCTTCTTATTACTTCCATCAGTTAAGGGTCCAAACATAATATATCAAGTTAGATATGCATGCATATTTAACAAAATAGGACGGGTCATCATAAACACACAAGTGATACTTGATTTTAGTATTCTTTATAAAGCTTAGTAACATCTATCAACGCAGCTCAGGATCGTAGATAATTCACCGCCGTGACATTACAAAAAAATTAAAAATGAATATGAAAGTTTTCAATATTTTTTGCAAGTGATAAACCTAAGAAAGTTTGTTAAAGTTTTGAATAATATCATATTTCATAAATCAATACATAAGCCCAAGCCAAAGATACAAGCACAGCCACTTAAGTCAGTCAGTCAGAACAGAACACTTGATGATGAAACGGCTAAAAATCAAGAAGTCTATTAGCCTTACAGTAGTCAAAAATAGTTTATTTTGCTGAAACCCATGCATTTGTATCATTTATACGTCCCATAATCATAACAGATACCATGTTTTATCTACCATAATTTTTACTGTCCAGCTCATTTTGGTGGTGTTGACAACAATATTCAAGTCTTCATAAAGATAGAATATCAAACACAAGAATGTTTGTATCAGCAGAAACAGAAGTCATTATCACAGAGCTCACAATTGGCTACATAAACTAAAATTGCAATATCAATTCAATCCCGATTACTCTTACATTAAAAACGTGCCTCACCTTCTCGGTAAAGAGAGGGAAATAATCCGTTAGGTGAAATAACAACAGGTCCATGCGGTAAGGTCTTTCCATCCTGCAAATATTTGAACTTTTAGTATCACTTAAGGCAGTATGTTTACAATGCTAACTGAGCTGTCAAATGCAAGGATACAATAAAAGCTCAAAGAAAAATAATTAAAGAATTAACAAAATGACAACATTAGGATACAATTGAAAGGCATGAGATTTGAACCCACGTTGGAAGTATAGGATTTTGGTGAGATTTATGAAGCTTTGGATTCTCCAGCTTGAATGGCTTACTTTCATGGTGTGGTACTCTCATAGTTATTACTTATTATTGATAAGTGTTTAATTAGTTTGATTAAATACTCACTTGAGACACTTATCTAGCACAAATTGTGTACATATTGAAATTATTTTGATCTATATATGCTTAGAATCAAAGAGTTACTTTTGATTAATGTTAGTACAGGGAATAGGAAGCCTTTGATCCAATTTGGTGCTTATTTTGTAGGTTTTGAAACCTGGAGAAGAATGGCTCAGCCATTCTAAAGCGCTCAGCGGAATCAGGCCAGAGAGCTTCCCAAACTGAAGGCGCTCAGCCACTTCAAAGCGCCCAGCGGATTGGCCCCTGGAAGAGAAGGAGTGCTCTCTGCCTCCAAGGCGCTCAGCCACTCCCATCCGCTCAGCGGATTTGACCAGGAAAAAGGGGTGTTTTCTGCCTCTAAAGCGCTCAGCGGATATGAGGCGCTCAGCCCTTTTGAATGCTTAGCAGTGAAGGATCTCCAAGGCGCTCAGCGGATCCAAGGGGCTCAACCCTTTGGGTTACTTCATGGTGAAGGAGTCTTCAAACCGCTCAGCCGTTTCAAGGCGCTGAGCGGATTCGTCTCTCCCCTGTTCACTCTGTTTTAATTTTATCACATATATAAGGGCAGAAGAGAGAGAAAGAGGCATCATCTTGAGCTGTACGAGGAGAAAACAGAGGGAAGAAACAGAACACTTTTGGAGCTCGTGGGGACGCGATTCTTCGAAGGATTTCTTTCTTCTTCCACCTTTCATCTTTTTATTGAGTGATTTCTTGTATTATGGAGAGCTAAGCTCTAGGGTTGGGATTGATGTAATCGTCAAACTCCTTTGTATTCCTCTTTGATTCATATATATATATCATCTATTACTCTATGTCAGTGATTTGTTTCTGTTTTTAATGCTTTGATAAACTGATCACTTATCTCTGATTTTGAGTTTAGAATTTGGTTGGGAAACGTTTTCTAACTCTAGACTTGGAACAAATCACCTATTAGTTTTGAGAGCCAGGGATGGTCTTGAAATTAATAGTTGCAACAAGTTCTGATTCTTAATGCGAGATATTGAACTGAATGAAGTGAGGAATCATTCATTGAGTTAAATATCTCAGAATTTCTTATGCCAAGGGATTGGGTTTGAATGAAAATAGAGAACTCAATGGCAATGAGTAATGGAATCTTTAGAAAGAATCAATAGGAATGCATAAGAGGGAGATTGATGAAGTCAAATCCCAACTGTTTCTCATATCTGTTTTTCCACAAATTAAATTATCTTTTGGTTACTTAAGTTAATCAGTCATTCATATCAAAATTGAATATGTGTAATTATCCAAATTTTACATTCATAAGCATCATTAGTATAATAGAAATCATAGCCTATTACACAAATCCCTGAGGTTCGACAACCTTTAAATTATACTACAGAGACTTGGGTGCGCTTGCCTATAAAAAAATCCAACAATTATCAATTGGTATCAGAGTGTTTCACCATGTCTCTCAGCTATAAATGATTGATGATTTCCATATTAAAAGTATGGAACGACTAGCTTTTTTGGTGTGGTTTTCCCAAGATTCTATAGACTTGATTGAGCATCACATAGGCAAGCAAGCACCTAACAGTAGGAGGTGATAAAAGCCATGAACCTTCACAAGACTAGACGTATGATTAAAGTTGATTACCCACACCCCTACGCACAGCTTTATGTTAAACTTTTAAAAAAGAAAATCTCATAGATGGGTCCCTGGTTACAACAACTTTAAACAGCATAATTCTACTATTTAAAATAAACTGTTATTGATTACAGAAGGTATGGCTATTTCAATACCTGTATCAGGTTAAGCAGAAAATTCCTGGTTAGATAAGCTTGGACAATAGCACGAGCACTCAAAAACAGTAGCTGGTACCCATTTTCCTAACATAAAATTAGGATCTTGTAGTATAAGACACTAATCTTCTTGACAAAAATTCAAAGAAGTAATAGGCAATCATGATAACATTAATCATTTAAGCACAGTATGTTTGCTTTTACATTATAGTTGTACAGATAGAAAAGGCTCTGCACATAACCAACATAAGTATCTGCATCTATAATATATTCCAAAGAAATAAAAGCTTAGCAGAAAACTCGTAATGAAATATAAAACAATAATGTTGATTAAGTGAGAAAACAACAAAATGAAACCGCACAAAAATGTAAATGTTGTATAGTCATGAAAGAGGCATATGCACATTGCCTATAAGTTTCTATTAATGGAAGAAAAAGAGCCCTATCTCACTAGCCTTTGTTATAACTGTAATTACCCATGCGGAAAACCAGATTTGACAAGGCTTCAGGCTCACTTGCTAAGCAAGCTCAAGCCCAAGCTCGCGGAAACTTCAGTTCTTAGAGAACTTGTTTATGTGTGCATATACAATTATATATTTGCATAAAAAAGTGTTTGCGAAAACCACTCCAAATGCAACAAGCACTCTTACTCTACAGCTCATCTCATCCTTAAAATAGAACACCTATTAAGCAAATAGAAGTTACTTAGTAACTGAATTATATTTTCTTTTTCTCGAGTCAAAACTCAAAAATCTCGATACAAATTCAAAACCTTAATTTGAGAATCACATAAAACAGAAGACAGTTGATGTGAGGAGGAAGTAACATAAGCAATTAAACATACTGAAATGGAAGCAACAACGAAACAGAAATTGATTACATAACCATTACACAAGATGCGACTTAAAGAAAGACCCTCACCTCAGAATATCTGTTGCAATTACCTCATTAAATATTGACATTAACGATCCTACTCTGTCAATTAACACAAACTTAGACGTGATATAAAAGAAATATACATACTTCAATAGCTGAGAAAAGCCTTGCCACTCCAGATTGTGTCCAATCTTTGCCAACTAAAGGCATGAACTGCCCCAAAACATCAGATCTGAAAGGGAGAAAATAGTAAAATACAAAGATGTTGATAGTGATTGTGAAACCAATTCTACCTTCTACTTTTGCTGCATTTTTTTTTTTTTTGCTTGTTTTAGTTTAATTTACATTAAGATACATTGGTATAGACATACCACTATAACAGCATGTGCATTCATGTAGATCATTTATTTTTTCTTATCCAATCACTACATTAATGTAAACACGTAATAATAATAATAATAATAATAGTAATAATAATAATAATAATAACTCAGTAGTTAGTTAATCATATTGGAAAAAGTAAAAGATAAAAAGAACATACATGACAATTCTTTTCAAGATTTAGAAAAAGGATCACCAAGAAAATGTTATGTTAATGTTATATTCATTATATGCACATAAGCTAATGAAAGATATTTTAGGTTCATCCAACCCTGACAACTTGAATAGAAGTTGTTAATGTATCATAAGACTACTCAAAGTCTAACCCTATACCATAAACCATAAAACAGAACCTTTATTCCCTTTCATACATTCCTTCATGTAGTAAAAGATTCAGGAGTATCAACAATTACCAAAATTTACATGATAAATCCATACTTAGATTTCATAAAATATAATGTCCAATTAGCGGGTGGCAAATGAATTCATTTATCCATCATCCATCCGATCCGTCCACAAGTAGATCCATCCAATCAATCCATTAGAATAAAAATAAATAATAGATCGAATCCAATCCATCCATTTAATTTTATAGATGGTTAATGATCCATCCACTACTTTTTTTCACAATTTATTGGATTACAATATGAGATGTTTAATGGATTGAGATTTTAAAAGAATATTTTAACATAAAAAAAAGTATTTTGTTAATTTTAAAAGACTTTATAAGAATATAATAACTTATAAAGAAAAGTGAAAGAAATAAAATATTTTAAAAAATAAAAATTATTTAAGTTTAAATATTACTTTTATGGATGGATTGGATATCCATCCATGAAAAATTATTAATGGATGGATTGGATGAATTTTTTGTTTTAAATGGATTAGATGGATTGGATTTTTTTGTGAACTTTTAATGGATCTAAATGGATTAATGAATTATTTTTATCCAATCCATTATGATCCGCCTACAAAATTATCCGATCCATCCATTTGTCACCCCTATGTCCAATAAAGAGGGAAAGTAGGGAACAGAGATATTGTAACAAATAACAGTGGTTTAGTTGTATCTATGTCAAGTTAAAAGAACATTAAATAAGCTAAGAAGTATTATCTCATCTTACTTGGTAATAGTTCCATCCACATCTGAAATTACAATTTTTGCATTCCACTTCCATAAGTATATATGAGCATCAACCTGTTAAGTAATTAAAATTTCACCCTAAAATAAGCAAAGCCCAACCATTGTATATATAGAGTGATATGGAACTCGGATTTTCAATCAATGCCTAACCTGTTGTGTTCCAAGAACCCTGGAGGAGAAACTGAAGGTTACTAAATTTTGACCATCTTTGAGATTTAAGGACGCTATCATCTCATTAGAGGGTACATTTGTCCTCACAAATTGCTTGCGAGGAGAGTCACGCCTAGCAGATGTTGGAGATGGCTCGACAACAGAAGTTTGCCAGTCAGACTCGGAATCTAAAAATATGTCCTCACTTGATACATCACTATTAGCGTGCTCAAGTGTCTTGACTTTTCGAAAAGGAATAGGCCAAAGTCTCCATCTGCGTCTAGATGAAGCTAGTCCAGGATTGTCAACTGTGGCCTTTACTGCATCGTCCTGTCCCACGGGAATTGTATCTTTGGGATCAACAGGCAAGTCTAAACCAAATACAGTCATTCCAAGAACAAGAGGAGCAGCCTTTTCCCACAGCAGATAACTCTCTCTGATCTTCAGAACAAGATTTTCATTCTTAATTATTGATGGTGCTGAACTTCTAAAATCCTCCACAGATATTCGATGTGCTTCAAAAACCTCAGCAGCAGCAACCAAACCCATACCCACCTTAAGTTCATGACCACAAAGTGAGGCCTCGAATTCTGCAAATTTTAAGAAAAGTAAATAAACAATTTTTAGTGCCAAATAATAATTGCATAGTATAAGCCAAACTAATTTGAAACAGTTGTTAGTACTTACTCAAATCAGAACGACTTTGGGCCTCCTCATTGGAAATTTCTATTTGAGGTTCAGTTAGTTCACATTTCTTACAAGCATCTTCAAGTGCATGGGTTTGTTGACTATCATTTACCTTATCATTTGATACTGACTCTGCAACATGTTCATCATTACATTCAATATCCTTAGTGCCAGAATCAGTGTCAACCTCCCCTGATGCATCTTTATCAACCTCTTGAAGTTCTACTTCTAATTCTAAAGAATTATGATCAACCAAGGAAGTAGGCCCACTAAGAGGAGATAACTCGTCATTGTTTCTACATTGTTTGATGTTTTCTTGTTCATTTTCATTAATAATTGAACAATTTTCATTCGATACCTCTGCTGAATTTTGAGACTCTAATGTGTAACCTACATCTTGTAAATCAGCATTTCCAGCCTGCTGAGCAAACTCGTGTAATTCCAAACAACTTTTGAAAACACTCTCTCTCTTCATACAAGATAGAACCTCATCTGAATCAGTTTGCAAATGACGATCTTCTTGATTTTTAATCAGCAAGGTTTCTTCTGTGGGACTAAAATTTTCCTCTTCCTCCCTTTGAGCTTCCAACAGGAGAGCAGTAGTATCATCAGTGTCACCAACCTCAGTGTCATAGCTACTAGCTGGAACATCAACTCTCGAAGCATCCCGCTGACTAACATAATCAACAGCCCAAGCATTTTCATCGGAAATAAATTCCCTATTGCCCTCATAGAAGCCAGTCCCTTCACCTGGGCCTAGGTGAAATTGAGGAGTTTTTAATTTCAAATTTTCCTCATTCTTCTCTTCTGATTCTAGGATAGGGGCTGTCAATACATGACCATCAACACTCACCAAGACCACCTCTGGCTGGGAACCCTGTGAATCCACCAAATTCTCCACATCTAGATTCTCATATCGACTAGATTCATATTCTGTAACCTCAAGTGAACCTTCAAAAGAGGATTGATCATCTTGGAATTCAAAAAATTTCCTATCAACATCAGATTCTTCCCTTTGAAGTGGCGGCAAAACCGAGGAGCGGCCTTCGCCAGTAAACTGAAGCACCCCTGAATCGGATATGCTATGGTCAAGTCGATAATCAAGTGTAGCATCCATACCAAGATAAATTTTACTATTTTTATCAATTTCAACACTACCGCCTTCTTTACTAAATTCAGAGTTATCAGCAGCTTCAGGAGCACCATTTGACTTTATTCCTTTATTGTCGCCATCATCATCCACCTCTTTTACAAAATAAGCCTCCCCTGAATTGTCAAGATACATGTGGAAGTTTGCTTCAACCCCGTTGACTTTTATCCGAACAATCTTTTCAGCACCTTTGAGAACACCTTGAAACTTACCAAACCGAACATACCATGGCGTGCACCGGAACGTGCCATCTTGCTGCCGAACAACAATGACATCAACAGCCCCACCAAAGGGGTGAAAAGGGGTAGCAACTGAATAGACACCTTGGGTTATCAAGCTTCCAACTTTGCCCACCACATTCATTCTTATCAGTAGTAGCCAATTACCAAAGCTCTATAATTTTGGGAGGCCCAAAAAACAGACCTCAAAGTTTCTTAAGTCTGATCCTGCTTTCAATCACATGTCCCAAAAACATAGCCTTAAATTACTCTCCAACCCACCTAACCCAATATTATCTCAATTTCTTGGTTTCTTTCCTGTGATTACGAATTCTTGTTCAACAAAACACTGCATGGCACTCCAATAAATAACAAATTTGGATGATCACGACATTAAGGTGATGAAATTAGAGCAACTCATTTATGAATTTACAAAAAAGTTAATGTTTGCAAATAAACAAACTAATCCAAGAAAAAAGAAGAGGCGGCGAGACTTACAAGTTGAGAAGACCCATTTGAGAGCTCAAAAAACTGAGGGCGATTGCGGTTGTTGTAGCAATAAGGTTTCTTGAGATTCTTGCACAGCTATAGATGCTGTTCAGTTTTTTTCTTGGGGGTTTCCAAAGTTTAGACTTTTATTTTTATTTGGTTTGGTTCGAAATGGATAAAGAGAGAAAATTAGGTGTTCGAAGTTAGAACAGTGTCAAACAACATTAAATAAATAGGTATGACCAACATACCAGATTACGGACCGCGTAAGGGCTGTTCAGCCATTTCATACTAGTTGCCGTTGGGAATGATGGTGTTCTTCACCAAAACTTTATTTTTACCACATTCTCAATATATTAGGAAAGTATAAGTTTGTGTAAAATAAAAATTTATGAAAACTAAAAGTTTCTACATATATAATTGGTTTTAATAAAATTGAGCTTGAAATCTCAAGTAAGATTCCAAATTCATTTTTTTTAAAATATTTTTTTTTGCGGTATGTTTATTATTAACAAAGTCTATACATATTTAGTGTAGTATGTGTTACTATAAAAAAAATTAAAAAAATTAAAAAAAATAATAATAAAAAAAAAGTTTCTGCCTATATATGATTTCAACCTATAAATTTTGTATGAGTTTTATACCGTATGGTGGCTGACTAGACCGAATACCCGAGTTCGTGGTCGACTAGGCCGAATACCCGAGTCCGTGGACGACCAGGTCGAATACCCGAGCCCACCGACTACTCACAATCTAAACGGAACGTGTTGGTGTGCTCGGCCAAGTCACGGATTTACGCCAGGATAATTATGGAGAGGTTAATTTATGTAATGCACCGGATTAGCCCCCTAATTTCCCGGGGCTCAGTCCTTAATCGAGCCCAATAAGAATCACTATAAATAGGACCTCAGCGAGGTACGTAACTAACTTTCAATTACCGCAATTATTACGCCGAGCACTTACTTGAACGTTGGAGTGTCTTTGCAGGCACATCCCCCTCACATCGAACTACCCGGATAGGAACGAGAAGACCGAGACCCAGGATCAGACCCGCTACAACAAGGATAAGTGAAGTGTGTATCCTAACACATGAACAAGTTTCTTTAATAAAAAAAAATGTGGCTCAAATAATTTAACAGAATTTATCAAGAAGTGTAATTAATATTTGTCATTTCCGTCTTCATTTGGCAGATGGCACAGACACGACAATTCAAGAAGATCAACAATTTTGCATGTGATGTGATATTAGTAGTTTAAATGGGCCAGAGGCATTGACGGAGGAGATTGTTGGGCTTATATGGAGAGAGTTGCAGGCCCGTGGAGTGCGTGTGTGTAGGTGGTGTTTGATGCAGATTCAGATCTACGATATGAGATTGATAAATGAAAAGTGATAAGTGATGAGAAAAAGAACATGGAGATTTGAGATCAGATCCATTGAGTAGAGTTTGTTCCGATGGCGGCGACCATAGCTCTCCTGGCCCTGGTCCTGGTGCTCATCGTGTCCCCCTCGGCGGCGGAGATAAAGTCCCTGAGCATAAAGTCGGACAAGCGGGCCATGATCCTGTTGGAGAAATTCGGGTTCACGCACAAGGGGCACGTGTCGATCGCCGTGTCGTGGGTGTCGGTGGGAGTGCTGTCCTCCGGCGTGCAGGCGGAGTCCTCGCGGCTGGGGTTCTTCCTCCTGAACGAGGAATCGCTCCTCCAAGTCCTGATGGAGATCCAGCAGAACCCCTCCTTCTGCGTTCTGGACTCCCACTACATCTTCCTCCTCTTCACCTTCCGCGAACTCTCCCCTCCCCCATTGGCCTCCTTCAACCGCTCCTACCCGGTCACCTCCCCCAACGAATACAGCCTCTTCTTCGCCAACTGCGCACCGGAAACGTCGGTCTCCATGGTCGTCCACACCGAGGCCTACAATCTCCACGCCGACAACTCCCGCGACTTCCTCTCCGCCGGCCAGACCCACCTCCCCTCTCTCTTCTCCCTCTTCTCCGTCGCCTACCTCGCCTTCTTCGCCTTCTGGCTCTACATTTGCTACACCAACAACCGCTCCGTCCACCGCATCCACTTCCTCATGGCTCTCCTCCTCCTCATGAAGGCCCTCAACCTTATCTGCGCCGCCGAGGATAAGCACTACGTCAAAGTCACCGGCCTCCCCCACGGCTGGGACGTTCTCTTCTACATCTTTCAGTTCATCCGCGTCGTTTTGCTCTTCACCGTCATCGTTTTGATCGGGACTGGATGGTCTTTTCTCAAACCCTTCCTCCAAGACCGGGAGAAGAAGGTCTTGATGATCGTCATTCCCCTTCAGGTTCTCGCCAACTTGGCCTCCGTCGTCATCGGCGAGACCGGCCCTTTCATCAAAGATTGGGTTACTTGGAATCAGGTTTTCTTGCTTGTCGATATCATCTGTTGTTGTGCCATCATTTTCCCCATTGTCTGGTCCATTAGGTCCTTGAGAGAGACCTCCAAAACCGACGGCAAAGCTTCTAGGAACCTCGCAAAATTGACGCTTTTCCGCCAGTTTTATATCGTTGTTATTGGGTATCTCTATTTCACCAGGATCGTGGTCTTTGCGTTGAGGACCATTGCTGCTTATAAGTACCAGTGGGTGAGTAATGCTGCCGAGGAGACTGCCAGTCTTGCTTTTTATGTTGTCATGTTCTATATGTTTAGACCTGTGGAGAAGAATGAGTACTTTGTGCTTGACGAGGAGGAGGAGGAGGCTGCGGAAATCGCTCTCAAGGATGAGGAGTTTGAGCTTTGAACATTTTTCTCCACAACCCTTTAAACCTTCACTGTCCACAAGGGAATACTATACTGCCTCTATGTTTAGCTGCTTCTTTTTTTGGAACAATTCTGCGGGATAGCAAAAGGTTTTCTGCTTTTCTTTTCCTCGTTTCGAGATGTATGTCACTTGAGAAGTTGTACTACTGAGATGAGATGAGATGAGATTTGATGTTCTTTTCTTGATCATGCTGCGCACAGGTGCTGTACATTTCTCAATTCATTCATTACTTTCTTTCTTTACCTAAACATTCCATAGCTGTATAATGTTGTTGCATTCCTTCACGTTTAGCATCTGTGTGCAATTATATATATCATGTTATGTTAATACTCAATTCAATGTGCATGTGCTGCACTTTCTTTCTAAAGAAATCAAGGAGTTGCTGTCGTAATTCGTTCGCACTGTTTTTTTTTTTTTTTCCATGTAGTTTTGATGTACAAGGTCGTGAATCTTGATCTTTTCAAATAATGTAATCTGGCTGCTTCTTTAGTTGGTGACTTGGGTGCATTGTTGTCTAGTGCAAGTGTAGATCTTAGTTAGCAAACAAGTGAAACTACTAATGGGCGAGTTGGGTCCTAGCACCTGAGTATTTACTTGTTTAATACGTCTGTGTGTGTGTGTTCTGCTATTTTGTTATGATTGGTTGTGTTTTCTGTAAGACCTACTAAAAATGCTGATCTTATTTTTAGCACTTGATAGTTGAAATATAATTTGGGACGGCAGGCTATAATTTGAAAGAAGATGTAATTCTCCCAGTCGTTATTGCAAAAGAACTTTTCCCATGTAAAGACGTGGGTTAACTGTTCTTTATTTTGTTGTGAAAATTGGTCTATTTTTAAGAGATTCAATTTTGTCTTTTTTAAGTTTCAAATTTGAGTTAGCATTATTCTTCTAAAACAATGACCAGTTTTAATTTTCGGACATGATTTTAACCCTCTTTTCCCTTAGTCAAACATGAAATTTTTTTCCTATAGTCAAACATGAAATTTATATCATTCACTTATACAAAATTTATGAAATTGAATAAATGTTTGGACAAAAAGAACTATAAACTTCCTGACAATTGTGTGCAAAATAGTCTGGTAAGTAACTTAAAAAATCTATTTTTCTTTTTTTATTGCTTGTGGGGACTCATTTTTCATGACATTTTTACAATGTTTATAGTCATGGTTGGTTTAAACATTAATTGAGTTTCATAATTTTTATGTAAATAATTTAATGAGACAAATTTTAAGTATTGAATCAGTTAAAAAATATTTAAAATTGTCACAAAATAAAAACGATCACTACTTAAAGACAATTCTTACTTAAATTTGAAAATTGAAAGACCAAAAATGAATCTTTAAAAAATACAAAGAACTATAAAAAAAAAAAATCACAAAAGGAAAAATTATCAAAAATATTTTTGCTCTGGAGTAGAGTGGCTTTATTATGTGAATTCCTAACTTTACTATGGAGAATAATCGCTCAGATTAATGTAGTTTTCACTTGGGGGGAATCTGATAAGAGGATAAATTTTTACAAACTTTTGTTGTTCGGTTTAATATTTAGGGGGGAGAGGGTTTAAATTATTTCAAGTGTAATATTTAAAATATTTTTAAATTTAAAATTATAAAAAAATACAAAGATAATTAAAAAAAAATTCTTTTATCCTTGTAGATCAAATAGGAAAAAAGTTATTTATCCGTTATTATATTAAAATCCATTCCCTTCTCTTCTTCCTATCAAATAAAATTTTAGCTCTTTTATTTTTTTTCTTACTCCATCGAAATTCTTATCCTTTTATTATTATTATTTTTTATTTAATTGCACTTTAGTTCCTCAAATATGATAATTATGCAATTTTGATCCCTTTATCAATATATTATGTGAAAATAAGATTAAAAAGAGAATTGAACCTTGCACTCTTACCTCCAACAAATTAAAAACATTTCATCATTGAACTAATGAATTTCTTTAATATACAAATGAAAGTTATTATATATATATATATA